AAAAGAATCGAATATGTTTTACTATTAAAAAGAAACTACAAAACTCATCACTTACGTTGTAGTTGTTGTGTCAGAAATAGTCGTAGTATCGTCTTCAGTAGTCGTAGTATCGTCTTCAGTAGTCGTAGTCGGAGTTGTCTCGTCTGTGGGATCATCATCATTAAAAGAGGAAAATAGTTATGAGATATAGCAATTTTAGTAACTTTTTTATATTTTTACCTTCACATGGAAGTGGGTCAGGTATACTAGTGAAGGCACAAGCAGGGTTCCAATCCCAAGGAAATTCGCAACTATGAGTATTAAAAATATGTATATATAAATGTATATGCATGTTTCTGATGTTTATTAAAAATTATTATGTTTACCGCTGGTTTAAATAATCGAAAAATGTTCCACATTGGCAGGGAACTTCTGTTGGCACCCAAACACCACCTTCGGGAACACACTGTAAGAAGAATCTATATGAAAGAAAAACAATGAATTAAATTTAAAATTTTGAATGAATTTTTTTTAAATACCTTGGATCTGCATTAGGCCACAGTATACCCCTGTTTTCCAAAATTGAACAATCTGGAGGAGGACATGAAGGGTCTACTGGAGGAGGATCAACCAAAGGATTGATGACATGATTATTGTTATTATTATGGTTGTTATTTCCTGAACAAGGTACGCATGGAGAATTCGGACTACATGTCCAACACCTTCCTTGGGAATCTGTGAATTGGATGACGTCATGCTGTGCCATTCCATGCACTATGAAGCAACCCAAAAGGGCAGCAACTGTTTAAATGATTGATATTTTTGATCAATTAACATCCAAAATTAATAAAATTTAAATCATTAATTAAACTACAGAAATCTCTTACACAAATGATTATTCATTTCTTGCCACACACTTCTTTCCTGTTTGTTATAATTTTTTATCTATCACAAAGGTTGTTATCACAAATGAAGACGAAACCAAAATGCTTTGAAAAATTTTCAATTATTGTTCTTATATATACAAGATTCCTTTGAGTTATCTTGAGATTGGAGTATGTTTAAAACGTCAAAAATCAATGGAAACAATAAAAAAAAATGTTTCAGGAATTGATGATTTTATCTTGCTCGACTCGCCTTTTCCGTTGATATTTACAAAAGACAACTTTTATGTTGTTTTATATAGATTGTTTAATTGTGTAATTTGACACAGCTGAAGTTTTCCAACTTGTATTTTTTAAGATTACGTTTAGTTACTGATAGTTCCTTTGTTGGAGCGTATTGAAAAATTTGGCATTCTAACAATAATTAATTGGAACATTATCAAAGTTCCGGATTTACAGAAACATGTTACGTATTAGATATTATCAAAAATTCCCGAATAAATATTTTAGTGAAAATGTTTTTTGTTGTAAAATCAACGTCAATTTTTTTTTAAAGTAAGAACCACAAAACCTTTCAAGTACAATTTGACGACATCATCTATATAATAATTCATCACTTGATCTAAATATAAAATGTGAATTGATCGAACATTTTAAAAATCTTTTGGCGCATTTTCCAATTGATTTTCTTATTAATGATCATTGATCACAAACAATATTTAAAATTTAAATATATTTAAAATAATTCACATAACAAGTGATAAAACATGAGACAAAAACCAAAAGGTTTTATACTCCCTTTTTTTTTCTACTATTTCTACTAGCTTCTAATCTATTCATAGAGGGAACAACGTTAAGGCGCCAATAGTTTATATCATGTAAGACTTCCGGCAACTATCAAATATTTCTCTATGAAACAGTAAAATAGTTTTTCTTCGTTTAAAAATATTTATAGAACTTATGCAACAATCTGAGAAACATAAGATAACTAAATAAATGGGTAATAATGTGAACTTTTTATTCAATACTATGCAGGCGGATGGAAAAAAATTACTGCAAGCTCTTTCAAGAGAAACTTTCTTTGAAGAGAAACAACACACAATTCATATAAGCATTTCATTTATTTATTAAAATTCAAAATGTTCTATACTTATGAATAGTTCAAGCACGTTCTGCCAGTTTTCCATGAAATTTCAAACAAAAATGAAACATGAGCATCCTTAAATATATGAACTACATGGTCATTTTAAAAGTTCTAACAGGAAATAGTTTTAAAATTTTTGCAGAACCATGCTTCTTATGAAGAAGTTCAAGCCATTAAGGTTTATTTGCATTATTAAGGTTGATTTTGTGGTAGGTTTCTTGATGCCTTTCTCNAAATATGATGCCACTTCTTAAAAATAATCAGAATTTATTACTCAGAGCAATTTAAGGGCAATGAATTTAATTAAAAATTCTTTAATTAGTCCCAGATATATATCTACATATATATCGAAAACACATCTGTAAAAATTAAAAATTAAAACATAAGATTAAAAAGGATTTCAGATGCATAAATAAATAATGAAACAGATTTAAGGGAAGTCACGAGGAAATCAGCATTAGTTGAACATGTAGCAGAGACGAAACATATTTTTGATTTCGAAAATGCGAAGAAGATGTTGTACATCATCAGCAAACAAACAGTTAATCTCTCTAATAGAAGAACTGACACTTCAAGCTTGAGTCACATTTATAATGGCATTTGTCAGTTGAGAGAGGAATGGTCAAAGCTAAATAATAAATTATCGTTGTGTTTGTGCATTATCTGTGATAAGAATATTCTCCAGTAGTCAAACAATTTAGAAAGAAAAAGTAATGTGTCGTAATTTTTATCATTGACTATTTTTAAATAGGTAGGTATATCTAATATATATTGACAAAAGTTTTTAAATTCTTGTAAGTTTTATTGATAATTTTAAATTATTTGATATTTTTGTTCAATTCTGTAGTTACTAATAGTAACCCTGAAGATGACCTTAAAGAAAGACTGAAACTAGTCGGTAAATGAGAAAGTAAAAGAAACTACTTTTTTCTTCATCCTTATTTGATGAGAAGTACCTAAATGAAAAAGATAATTTCATATAAGAATGTTTGTAAGATCTTGAAATGGAAAAATAAAGAGAATTTCTCCTTTTTCTTGACTTATGCAAAAGAAGGAGAAATAATTTGGTTGAAGCTCGTGTTTAAACAATCATTGTACGCATAATAAATAAATAAAACACAAAACACATTCTAGAAAAAATCAAGAAATTGATAGTTTTTCAATTTTCTATGTTTCTGCTTGACGTGTTCCCAAAAAAAAATTATTTTATGCTTGATGCTGAAA